AAAAAAAAAAAAAAAAAAAATCCTCAAAAGTTTCTCAGCGGATTTGGCCGGTACTCAGCAAGCGCAGTACATCCCCATAGTCAGACGGAAAACAAAATCAGTGGCTGGCTGTTTATTGACTGGTCGGCAGACCGCCGACCGGTCGGCCCTACCGGTAGGCTGCAAAACGATCGGCAGTCGGGGTAGGCATTCGGCGGGTATGCAACCCTGCCGAGATAGATGAAGGCTGGGCATCAGAATTTGTAGGGCTTAACGATATCTCCTGGGGTTCTGTAACTGCCTTTGCTAATTTGATGCATGTCAGTCTAGGGGAGTATGCCCCGTTTTTTTTGTTTTTTTTTTGAAAACAGGTCCTAATGACCCTGGCTCCATTTCCATTCTGGGGAGCATCAGTCCGGTTACTATTCCACCGGCAAGTCAGGAAATAATACAACATAGGACACCCACATGCTTCCTTCCCTCTGACCGAAGGAACCCTGATCAGCATTCATTACTCCAGCAACGTGGAGGATTGGCTGTCAGCTTGCCCTGCTTACTCCTTTCCTCTCAGGACTACTATAAGAACAAAAGAAAAAAAGAAAAAAAGAAAAAAAGAAAAAAAAAGAAGAACCTGTCGGATAAAACATGCAAAACAAGAAAGGACTGAGAAGCTACAAACTGCTGCCAATGCTGTCTAAACTCTAAGCCCCGTGAATAAGAATCGTGAAATTCTTACTTGTTCCTGTCCAAAACCTCAGACCTAAACCCTAAACCCTAAAGAAGATTAATCCTCTTCCATATAGCGGAGTATGCCCCGTACAAAGTTGGCGACAATTCTTGCACAGAAGGAATCAGGTTAACTGAAAATGGTTTGTGCACTACCACACAATTGGAAGTCCGATGCAAGGCAGTTGTGAGAAGCTGCAGTGAGAGAACCATCCACTCGGTGGGAGGGCTTCCGTGTGGGTTGGGTGGGTTTCGTTGCGTTCCAACCCTTTTATTCAAAAAATAGATTCTCTGCTCTTGGAGTCTAATCGTGGGGAGGAGCTGTGGAGTTGGTGATAAGGGATGCAAAGTGCAAACACTGGTCCCATTCTGGTCCCACTCTGGTCCCACTCTGGTCCCACTCTAGTCCCATTCTGGTCCCATTCTGGTCCCATTCTGGTCCCATTCTGGTCCCATTCTTTCCAGTACCAACCCCCGATAGGGCAGATACACACTGTCCCGGTGGGCCCAGAGGGATATGTACCATGCATGCCTCAGTGCTTTCCTGATTTGCGCCACTTGCTAATGACAGGTTCCGTTATGGTTGTGATGGGACTATGGTGCTAGGATTTCAGTTGCTTTTAGAGGGAAATGGGGATCACTTTGCTTCTGGCATGTTTTCAGTATCTGTTTGGATATTAGAGAGTATTACGGACAATCGTTGCGGCCAAAGAGGAAAAGAAAGGGTAAACCAACGAGATAGCTCAGCTGGTACACCGATGAACTGTTGAAATGCAGACGTGAGTTTGAGTCCAGATAGAACCAGATGAACAACATTGCTGAATATATCGTGGAGGAAAAGAAAAGAGAGAGAGAAAAACTGTTTGAGGATAAGCAACGAGATAATGTAGAGGAAGGAAAGTAAAAGAAAGAGAATAAACAGTTATGGTAGAGAGTCTAGAGACCATGACCGACGATCACTGTGGCTAAAAGCAGCCTGCTGTACGCGACTGCAGTTAACGAGAGCGGTAGGGAACAAATTTAAAGAAAGGACAAAGCAAAGAGATAATAAGGAAGAGAGAGAGAGAGAGAGAGAGAGAGAGAGAGAGAGAGAGAGAGAGAGAGAGAGAGAGAGAGAGAGAGAGAGANAGAGAGAGAGAGAGAGAGAGAGAGAGAGAGAGAGAGAGAGAGAGAGAGAGAGAGAGAGAGAGAGAGAGAGAAACAGTTAAAAGTTAAAACCACTAGTACCCTCGACAGTCACGGTGGGTAACGCGCCCTGACGCGCTCGGGTGAATGGGCCTGGATTGGGGCGCCCAAATTCGTCCAAGTCGAAATGCTTCCACTTTATTTTTTCCTCGGCCGATATATGGCCGAGGTACTGGTGGTTTAATGGCATCTAGTGGATGCAGAGTGAATCTTCAGAATTCACAGCTGGCATGTCATCCCATAGTATCACCTTTGGGTGGCTATTCGGGGGCTGTATGGTGGGTGGACTGCTTAGTGGAAGAGGGTCACTGTCGGCTGCAGCTAGCACCGTGAGATCGAGGGAACTAGGTGACATTTGGGAACAGGAGACAGGTGTGCATGAAACGGTCGAGCAGCTGCTGCTTCACTTCAGGAATGGGTAAAGGAGGAGGATTGAACTGCCGATCTACAGCATATGGTGCAGCTTAAGAGAGACAGAGTTCATTGGAATGCCACTACAAACTTTTTGGTAGCAGCCGAGTAGTGTTTTTTGTTATGGAGTCCTTCAGACATCCGTTCAAATTGGAATGATACCGAGAAGATTAGCATGGCCCCTGGGCAGGGATGACACTCATAAATGGAGAAATGGTCAGGGCTGGGCCGGCCACCTGTCAGTTCAGCTGGGCCAGTCCAGCCAGGGCCGGCCTGATCCAGGGAGGGTGAACCGGGAAATGGGACAGCCCAAAAAAATGGCCTTTTTTTTTGTTTTGTTTTTTGTTCCTGATTGCGGGCTCCGACTGCGCTCACTGAGATTTGTCGGATTCCTCCATAGAACTTCGAAGGTAAAAAATTCTTTTAGGGGTGCTGTCGGGGGGTAGGACAGCAACCATGGACACTTATTCGGCGGGTGTGAAAACTGCAAAGATTGCTTAGGTGGAGAAAAAAAATCCATGGGAAAAAAAGAAGAAGAACGAGAGGAGAGGATAGGAGGAGGAAGGAAATGAAGAGGAGAGAAGGAAGAAGAAGAAGAGGAGGAGGAGGAGGACGAGGAGAAGAGGAAGAAGAGAAGAACAAGAAGGAGAAGAAGGAGAAGGAGAAGAAGATAAATAGAGGAGGGAGAAGAAGAAGAGGAGGAGAAGGAGGAAGAGGAGAAGAAGATGAACAGGAGGAAGAAGAAGACGAATAGGAGGAAAAAGAAGATGAAGAGGAGGAGGAGGAGAAGTATAAGATGGTGGCGTTGGGGGGGGTAGGGGAGATGGCATGGAGGAGTTCAAGTAAAAGATGGCGGGGGTAGTTTGAAGTTAACTAAGATGGCAAGTAGGAGGAAAAGTAAAAGAGAGTAAGGAGGAGACAAGTAAAAGATGGCAAGGCGGAGCTGAATAAGTAAAAGATGGCGAGGAGGAGGAGAAGTACAAGATGGAGATGAGGAGGAGAAGACACAAAAGACGGCAGGGGGGAGAAAAAAGTTACAAAAAAGAAGAAGAAGAAGAAGAAGAAGAAGAGGAGGAGGAAACGAAGAAGAAGGTGAAGAAGAAAAAGAAGG